TGGATGACGTATCTGATTAACATGAGTAGAAACAATTTATGAAAACAAGAAGAATCCTTGATTGTAATCTTTTAAATCAACAAATTTTATAAAAGGTTTAGAAGATCAAACCTGTGCACGAAATGTCTGCAGTGCTCTGCCCTTAATATCATATTCATATTGTCCAATTAAGGACTTTGATTTGAGATCATCAACTGCTTTGTAAGACTGAAAAATAAATACAAAAGTGAGTAATTCACTTAAATCCAAAATTTACCCAATAAATTATCGAAATTATGCTTTAATTCACAATTTATAAGTTTGATTTTAATTTTTTGAATAGAAAATTTTGATTGAATTAAAGCTTATAGTATGATTCCGAAAAAGATTAATATGTCTCAAAATCTAATTCAACTTCCATCTCTATTACTGATACAATTAAAAGAATGAAAAACATACATAAACTTGGAAAAGTTTGGGTGCACTTTTCAAAACTCCATCTGGATGCAATGTTGAATGTAAATGTTCGTAGCTAACTTCTGTGACATAAATCGGATGCGATAACCTTATCGTTAGATAACCCTTACCACGAAAAGCCCAGCATTCACCAGCTGCCAATGGACGATGCTAAAATAAACTACCAATGCTCAAAGACTGAAATTTTCCGTAGAGATAGAAACATTATCACATAATAAAATATGCATGAATTACCTGAATAACAGCTCTTGGTGAATATGAGGAGTACCAAAGTGGAATTCCAAAAATTGACTCAAGTCGTGAATTTTCCTTGTATGGCTCGGTACAGCGCGTACTTATAACAGATGCCCCTGCAGAAATCTATTTTGGGGAGGAAAAAACTAGTTTATACCAATTTCACTTCTAACAAGAAAAAGCAACGCATAATAGAATTTCTTAACTCTTTATTTATATAAGCTTTCATTATTTAAATTTCCGTCATGAAATCAAAGAGAGGAATTTTAAAAAGGATACAGGTACATTACCTGAACTTTCCAGTGCATAATCTACTTTACCCGTCTTATCCGCATCATACATATCCAACGCATCAGTTATCATCTTTTTAATCATTATAAAATCGGATTCTGACAATCCGAGAACAGAACTTAATCTAGTTTCCTGAAAATATTTAAATTTTACGAACAATTTCAAAAGAAAAATAAAGTTCCAAAGAAATAACTACGTTCATGAATATGAACATATTCAAGTATTTGGATCTCCCTGAATTCATGAATTCATTTAGCAGCTTCATATCGGCAAATCCTGATTCTACTCGCCCGTAATTTGTATTCTATGCCATTCCAGGTCTTGTCAATTAGCTAGTTCCATATTTATTTTGCCATATTTTTTTTCAAGAATTTCTAGTTCTAAATTGGAAAAAAAATTGAACTTAAGTTCACTGCAAACTTACGGAAACGGTATCAGTTTTTTCAGCTATGTAGCTTGCAAAAAGGGCAACGACTCGATTCTCCACTGCTTTCATAATTTCCAAACGAAATGCCTCTCGTTCCTCAAGCGATGCCTTTTCGAAACGATTTAAACTGAATGAAAGTTCCTGAAACTGCCTGATTTATGCATTTATGTTTGAACAAAAACATATATTAATCACGTATATGCAAAAGGAAATCATAAAATTGTAAAAAAGACTCAACTCAAAAGTGATGAATAAACGAGTAAATAGGTAACTCATATATGGAAACCTCAATGACACTGGTAACGCTAACCTTATCAAGGTCATCCTTAACCTTCTTATTTAGTTCAGTTTTCAGTGCGTTCAAATCATCACTCCGTTTTATGTCACGGGTTACTATTGAATGAGCGAATTGTGCAATATTGGCTTCTTTTTCCTGACGAAGCTAAATCAAACATTATTTAATGCAGTTTTCAACGGGTTCGAATCATATCAATGCAACTGAATAAAATAATAGTATTAAAAAAGTGTCATATTCATAACAGATATGTTAATAATATATAATAATAATGAAATATAAAAATTGTAATACTTCTGTCAAGTATCAAGCGCTATCATATATTTTAGTGTAATAAGACTCAATAATAGAACGATCATTAAGACAAATTGTAAAGCTGACACTAAAATTTCAGTTGAGAGTCAAAAAAGAAAAAATACTTGTTCAAATTGAGTGCGCAAATTTCCAACTGAAGATGAAAGCTCCGATAGTTCCTGAAAAATAAATGAAGCCGGTCTGAAATGCATTTATAACAAGAAAAAGTATAATAGTCATTACTTATTCATAGAAGGAATGACATTCCAAAATAAATTCTCCATCTTTCTGCAGTATATTCAGTTCATTTTAGATATATTATCAATACATGGAAAAGTCACGGAAAGTATAAATGCCTAAATTTTTTACGATACAATACAAAACAAAAAAATTACACCAACATTGGACAAAGCTGATCGCACCACATCAGATTTTTCGGTGCGAACAATCTTCTGCGCAATTTCTTTCTCGATCTTTTCTGACAGAGTATCCAATCGTTCCATCAAACGCTTCTCAATGGCAAATAAACGCTGAAATAGGAACTACAGACTAAAAATTAAGGAAAGAAAATTTTTATGCACAACCTACTTTAATCAGATGAGCAAATTCTTTGCAAGATAATTTAATACCAAATACTTCATACTTTGAAATAATTACTATGTCCAACTTTGGATTAAACCAAATTCCTTGAGTCTTAGAATTCCTAAAGCAAAAAACAGAATAAGGACAAATCTGATCAAATTTGATCAAAAGCATACCTTTTTCAATTCTTCATCGTCCATTTTTCTCAAGTTAGCCATGTAATTTAAAAAATTTTCATCATTTGTGTACTGGAACAATTCATCATTGTTTAATGATGATTTTTTTAATCTGCAATTTATATTAATTTCATGAAAGTTAATATAATTAACAAAAAAATATCATCTGTCTAATTATATGAATCAATCGTTATTAATGCTTACTACTTTTTTGGCAAACGTACAAAACCTAATGATAGTAATGCAAATTCGATTTTCCTTCTTAAATCTATGACATTCTTCCACACAAATTATTAAATTATAATCTACTGAATTTAAAATTTGGAGTGAAAAATACAGTACTGCTTATCTGTAGATTTCGGAGAAGCACTTTTTTCAACTATTCGTAATGCTTTATTTATATTTTTGTAACGATCTTCTTCTAGTTCTCGTTCACGATGTAAATGTAACACTTCCGATTCCAACGATTCCTGCAATTTGAACTTCTGAAATGTAATAATAATTTAAACTACAAATTAATCTTGAACAATATTGCAATCTTCTTTTGCTATGTTCGTCTTCGTTTTTTAAAAATGACACTCCAATTTGAAAAGATACCTTTTCATATCTTAAATGTTCTAAACTCCATTCAGTCTGCTGCTGGTTGAAGCTGTTTGAACGAATTATATTTATCTGCAACAAAAAGCCTTAAATCTCAAGAATTTAATGCTAAAAGGCAACAGAACTATGAAATACCCACCACTATTCAGGCTTAAAACCGACTAGATTTTTAAAGCTTCGAATAAAAAAACTTGTTCAGTGAAAAAATGTTAAAAAGCTAATAGAAAGTTAAAAGCTCACGATATTACAAAAAATAAAACTATGTTTACCGTCTTTCGATTCACAACTGGAATAAGCTGAGCTGCTATCGAAATGAAGTATGATAGCAGCGCTAACAAATATTGTACCGCAGAGCTTATCAAATTTCGTACGTACAAAAACATGTCCACAACATTTTCAGAAATATTATCAGCTAAAAAAAGTAGAGAGCATTTAAGAAGAATAGTTTTTCTCATTTAAAAAGAATAGTTTAATTATTTAAGAAATTTTCAACAGTAAATCAGTTAGCAATTATTTTTATATCAAATTTGCGGGATGAAATAAAGGATGAGAAAAAAGAAAAGAAAAAAGCAATAAACTCGAATCATAAGGAATTTTGGAATTATAGGCATGATCTTTCCCATTCTCAAGAATTCCTTTATAAGCAAAATGGACGAGAAATTAAAAGTTCAGCACCTAATTACAGTAAAACTTCTCTAAACTGCAAAAAAATACAAACAACAAAAAAAAAATACTTCTAATCCATTCCGAAATAATGGACACTTGCCGGATCATGACACACATTCTGGAGCCTAATACTCTAACACTTTCGAAGAAATGGATGATTGCCAACTCCCCTTAAATGGATTTTACAAATTACAAGAAAAATAATTGATATACAACCGAAAGAGTGAAGGAATTTCAATTCAAATGTAATTTGTAGGTTAAACATAAAACTTGCATACCAAGATTGTACAATTCATTCGGAATTCTATATAGAAAATTATAGCTGTAGACATTGGTCATTATTTTCGCACTCACTGATTGACCTTAAAAGAGAATTTCGTTCAGTACAATCAAATCACTAAATTACAATTATACAAAAAAAAAGAAATATCAAAAGACGAATATTTGACCGTTGGGATCGAGAATATCGCCTAAAAGGAACATCTGAATTGAAAAAAAAATTTACAAATCTGGAAGAAAAAACCTACCAGCAATGTAAACATATTTTGGTAATTGAACCATTTGTTCGATAGTTTCCCGAGGATATGTCATGGCGCCATACAATTTTGCAGGATATAATATGAGATCATATAAGAAGCGGAGGATAACAGATATCAAATATAAAATATTTCTGAGCACGAAATTTAGACCACGCCCTATATACTGCTTCCATTCTGATACTAAAATATACTATATGTCATTAAAATTCCCTGATAGTTTGTTTGGTAATTATCATAATTGTATTTCATTATAAGTTGATTTCCATAAATTTCTACAATAAATTACCATGGAAAAGTTTTTGTTGGATTTTGTCAAATGCTTCCGTCACTACATCATCTCGGTTATCATGTCCTGAAATTATATCGTAAATTATGTACATAAATACAAAAGAACTGATTTATTTGATTATTTAGAGCCGATTATCTAAATAATACGATTTAGCTATTAAATTTAAGATTTCGGAACTATAAAAAATCCTATTTTATTCTTGTAAGATTGGGTGTTATAATTACAATAAAATCACAGTGACTTAATGTCGAAACCGTTGCTTTGCATTTTGCCATAAATTAATAAGTACATAAAAACAAACAAATTCTTCAAAAAAAATTTGAAACTGCACTTACGTTTATAAGACGTAATAAGCAGTAACAACAAGATTATCAAAGGAAATAGCCATCTCCAGAATACCGAAGAGCACTTTACCGAATTCTGAGTAGGAAAAAGCTGGCTGAAAAACATACCGTTAAAATTATGAAATCTATAAAATTTTAAGAAATAAGTGATGTTCATTAGTGTCCTTGACTATATTCGATGGAATTTAATAAAAAACGCTAATGGGAAAGACAAGCACTTGAAGTGCACGATGGTTATACCTTCTATCATGAGCTGTTGTATGAATCATTTTTTGTTGGTTTTTAGCAGCTGGAGACTTTAGGTCAGTGGTTAATCCTTTTCTTTTAACTTGTCTTACTTCTTCATAACCGACTAACAATGCGCTTTTCGGCCCAAACCTGTATAAAATATGAACATTTGACAAAACAATGTAAAGAAAATTCCAGTTTTTTCTTTTTCTTAGTTTTCCTTCATCTATTAACAGAAGAGTTTGTAATGAAGAAAATTTTTTAAACAAATTGAAATAAAGATCTTCTAAAAATTAAAAAGCATGAAGGTCAAAAAATTTTTACTATGTTATATGTTATTTTTACTATTTTATATTTTATGATGCTGATTTTCTCTAGAAAATAATCATTGATCGTTAATTATTTTCAAATATTAATAAAAAATTGAGAAAAGACTTTCGACTATTTATAAAATCTCTATCGAAAGAAGGACAACACAAATAAAAGAAAAGTAGCTTAAGGGCATAAGGATTAGACAGAGTGGATAAAATTCCGCTCCCTAAAAATGGTGGAAATCCATTCTTTTGCCTGAATGCTAGAGCATGTAATCTGCCCCCTAAATGTGGGAGATACTAAGTTGTTCAAGAAATAGTATACTAATTACATATAAGCCAACGCATAAGCTGCGCGCTCCCGAATACTCTCGGCGATATAGAATGGCACTGATTGTACGAAGACGAGGATGAAAATGAAACCAGCAGCGCATGAGCATAAAAGATCGATCAGAAAATAAAAGATTTGAAAGATAAAAGAATTCCGTTCTTTTTTTTCATGCCGTTCTGACGTCCTCATAGCCTGTTGTTGCAAGGATCTGAAACCAAAGAAATCAAAGAGCAAGAAATTAAAATAAAACTTTAATCACGATTTTGCATAATTTATCGATTTCATAATAGAAAAAAGTAATTCTAAAGATAAGAACACCAGTTCTTCATGAAAAGAAAGCAAAAATCTGCATAACGTGAAAGCTTTGATAATTTATTCAAGTTCAAACAAACTTAAAATTTATATTCCCAATAGAAGATAACTTACTGTTCCGATCGATTTGAACCAAGAAATTGACCAATAACATAGGAGAATATAATGAATGGTAGGGAAACTATTTTTTTTATCGGAGACAAAAAAGTGAGAAAACACGATGTTGCAATTTTAGACAAGAAGTTCGCAAAACGATTAGTATATGGCAATGTTTTTTCGGGTGATAGATTCTTGTACACGGTACGACTGCGTAGATCATAGGTTGAATGACTGAAACAATCAGTGAAATGGGGAAAAACACAAAGAACTAATGAATAAATATTAAAGAAATGGGATTGATATCATGTATTGCGATAAAAATTTCCGTTGATGGTCTTTCCACCATGGATAATTATAGACAAATTTGATTCGACTCAACTACTCCATACAAATTTTGGAGTATTTGAAAACAAAACAAATATCCAGACTAAACTAGCCTTAAGTAAATCAAAAAAAAATTCTCCAAACAAAATGCCATAAATTTTAGTCCTTTTAGCATGCACTATTTAGATTTTGGAAAAGAAGTGAATCGTCAGAATTTCGCTAACAGTAAACAAAAATGTGACAATTTGTAAGCAAACAAACCTAAAACCACGAAAAAGCCATGCAATTTTCCCAATGGTAAATTCGCAAGTTTTTACTGGCGACAGTGCTGCTATGAAAGTAAGGTAAAATAATTTGAAGAAGAATGATTCCACTAATCCTTTGGATGGTTTCGTAGCACGAACTGATTGATTGTTAATTTCTAGTCCACGATCTTCCGAGTATTCGTAACTGCTAGTCCTTACACGTCGTCGTACATTACGAGTTATATCGTGTCTAAAACATCACTTTTTCTTTAAATGAGTGACAATCACCAATTACAACTATAGAACAATATTCAGCACAAAGTAATTGAATATTTTAAGTTAAATCTTTCTTAAAAAAGTGGCATTTCTACAATTTTGAATGCCATGTAACATTAAAAGCAATACAATCATTTCAATTTAAATTTACAAAAATTTGAGCTAATGAAGTTCAAAAAAAGATTAGGAATAATGATTTTCAGTTAAAACAATTAATAAAGATAGCATACACCGGGCTGGACGAAGGATGCCATTTATATCCATGTTCACTATGATTATCCAGATTTCTCCGTTTTGATATAACTTCTTTTCTGTTTATTAAAAAAAGCGATTAAATGTCAGGAACTACAAGGAAATTTTTTACAATATCATTGTTAAACCAAACACATTGAGCACTGTAAAATAAATATATAGTTTTTAAATTAAATCTGATCTGAAACGATAAAAAATGTGATGATATGATGTGAGTTGCATTTCAGCAATGTAGTGACATTGAAAAGTATTAAAAGACTTGCTTTTCAAAATTTATAAATTTTTCATTTGGAAAAACTCACTTTAAGCGAGTGATTCACAGCGGTGGGTAAAACAGCTAAATGTATGGATCTAGTAAAAAAAATTCTGATGCAAGTTTATTAGTCAGAATGAATCCCACTAGAAAGAAAGGAATTAAAACTTACTGGACGTTATCTTTAGAAAAGTAGCCAAATGTTATCATGTTGGCGAATGATCGTCCTAACTTATTAACCAAAGAATTAGATGATGTCGCTTGACTATTCCGTACTGTCTCTCGGTTTGACGTTCGGGATGGCTGAAGTTCATTTTCTTGATGAAAAATTCAAACTTCTTTTACATATGAATTTGTACAAAAATATACAAATTTATTGATCTAAATTAAAATGAAAATAAAAACAAGGTCTCAGTAAGATAGCTGGATGCTGCAAAGAACAAACTTTAGGACAACTAGCACAACTATCAAGAACCGCTAAAATTCTTTCAAGTATTTTTATTGAAAGTCATTTATTCAATTTACTCTGAATAAAATAATTAGGGAATTAGTAAAAAAAATTAATAAAACATTATAAAGCAGTAAAAAACCTAGTCCACTGACTTAATGCTCTATTTCACTATGAGTGTAAGGAATGAAAATTTTCCACTGTTTTAAACATGAGGCACTAAAAAAATTGAAACGTGCAACGGAAGTACATTTCTTACCGAATCATTTTTATCATATAATTACCCGCACTGCCACTGAAGACAAATGTATAAAGTTAACTAACTACTACATTGCCTTAAATTAGTGAGAAAAAATCGGTAAAAGCCAACCCTCAATAATTTCTCGTGCTCTTCTGCACTGTATTGGTGTTCTTCAAGATCTTAAATGTATATGATATTTCAATTAATTCAACAATACAGAAATATAATAAAAACAAAAAATTGTCTTTAAAATTTTGCAACAGAAAAAAAAATGAAAACCACGAGCAAAGATTTCCAAGGAGCAGCGGCTTGAAAGAATCAATTAGAAATTTCCAATAAAACCATCTTTCTTTCGGAAGTTATTTTTATTTTAGAAATCCATCAACTTACAAGATGCTGGTTCCAACTGCTTTCTCTGCATAACTGTAAAGTGTTCCGGATTTGGGAATATTTTATTAACAACATACCACAAACCTGAAGTGTTCAAAATCTCCCAAAATTTTTAAATGCATAGAATTAACATCAGAAAAAATATCTAAAATCACGAACCTGTTTGAAAAAGAATGTCCAAAATTTCATGCAATTTTACATTTCTAATTCGAAAAGAAAAAGCATGCAGAGCATCCTTAATATCATTGAAAAAATTATAGTTCAATGCAAGAAAATTACTTACAACTGATAATGAAACGTAAAATACCCATAATAATATTAAAAATCATTGCCAGAGACTTTGGGATCAGCTCACTCACAAAGTCACATGCACAGAAATATATGTAGTAAAGTAAACCAGCTGAAAATAACCATTCTTATAAATTAGTGGATAAGACTGATTTTTAAAATTATAAAAGTCTAAAATGTTTTCATTCGCTTCTCTAGTGCTAACAGGGAAAATAAAGGGAAAAAATTTTCAAATTTCCTGTTTTCTACTCGAAAGCTGCAATTATTTCATTCTAATGAATCTGAATAAATATAAAAGTAATTTTGCAAAGTACCAATATACAATGACCCACCTTTACGTGCTTTTTCAAATGCCCACTTACGTCTATAATAATTCAAAGGCAATCTCGACATGCGAGGAGTTTCATAATCATCTGAACCATCAAGCCGATAGCTTTTCCTTGAAAAAAGAAAAATATAGATCTATATTTTTCTGCAGGAAAAAATGCTTCCCCCTACTATTTCCCGATTTTTTGAGAATTCAACATTTAAAATAGTGTGTATTGCTTAACATAAAGATAGCCTTCTATTTGATCTGTCACGAACATCTTATATAATTAACTGCGAACAAAGCCACCGAAAAGAAGAGAAAATAACTTACGATGTTACATAAGTATAATCTGTACGATAGGTGCTGAAAAAAAATTAATTAGAAAAAATAATAAGATTATGGAAGTGAAATTTAAAATTGTTAGAATGGAAAAAATAGTTGTGTTTGTACCATAATAAATTTATCATGGTAAGATGAATATTAGAAATGTTATCGTTATCCATTTATTATTCGAACAACTTACAAATAAAGTAATTTCGCAGTGAAGAAAAAATTATAAAATCTCCTAACAAAATTAGCTTTAATCGCAAAAGAATGAAAAAAATTGACTTACTCGTCTAAATCAAGCAATCGATTAAGATCAGACTGTGTCAAATTTGAATTACCAATAGTTGGCTCCCTAAAATAATGAAATTAACACGGACAAAATTAAATAACTTGTCTTCTCTATCATACAAAAAATGTAAAAATATAGACTAAAGAAAAGTTTTTTCATCAAGAACTACAGAAATTGCAAAGAAAAGCAGAGCATTTTCAATTTTATTAAGTGCTAATAATTTCCTTAAATCAGATTAAAAAACATCAAAAGTTTTAAACATCTATGAATTACTAGCATCCTTTCGTTTTTATCTTGGTTTTTACGTCATTCACATAGCACTTATTCAATGAATTTTAACATGCTCACTCTGAACTTTATCAACGGAATAGAATTCCGTTGATAAAGTGAAAAGTATATACTTGGAGGGAAAAATAAAGAAAGGAGTAACCAAAGAAGACTAAAAGTTATACTCAAAATCACAGATATCGTTCAGCTATGCTGATTTTCATGGATGACTCTTAATGAAAATAAAGTCCAACGATCGTTTATTATTTTGTATAAATTATAATTTGAGATTTCCATTGCTATCGTCTCACCTCCCAA